GAGTTTCCGTCAACCTTATGTCCTACTTGAACCCAAACTGCACGAAATCAGCCTGAGAACATCACAAACGAGAAATTCAGCTGGATTCCAGGTGAGTCTCTCGCAAAACCAAATTAGTTTGCAAATGAGGAATAGAAATCCTTCAAATCGCTTCTGAGCAAGCCTTCCCATGACATTGTCGTAGCCTTGATGCGGACTCTCGACAGTGGTATTAAGCTGTTGAAAAACAGTCCTTGTTTCTCAAGATCGACGGGTGTGAGAAGGGAACTTTTTAAACCTATGTCAGTTTAGCTGCTTTCATCTTGGAATATCACCTAAAGGGATCAAACAAAAGCGATTTTCAGTTGTGATATGGTTCTCCAAGTGAAGCCAAGGCGTGTTGAAGAGTCAAGCGACAACTAACACATCCTTGTTTGGGATCATCAGTAGTATATATCGCACGAAACTTAAGAGCATTCCGAACTCACGACCCCCCAGCTGGCAGTTTGAACATTTCACCTTTCGGCCACGAGAGGTCAATCAGCACCGGGATTACCTAGACAGCATATAGTGTCACTCGTCCTTCGAACACTAAATCTATAATTCATTACCACCTGTTGACTAACTCTTCCAGTGACAACTTTTCAATTGGAAGTTTCATTCGCTGTGTGAATTACTCTCTCTCTCTCTTCTCTCGCCCAATACACGGAAATTATCACTAAAAGAAGCTGGTCTGTCAAAGGAATACTTTAAGTAAGCCAGCTTCGACATTCTAAGAGCAGTCCGTACAAATAGCCGTTCAATGCAAATCGTAACCGTTGAATCGGGATAGAATCTTGCCCTGCCCTTGTACTGATTTTCATCTCGATAGGCGCGATTAAGCAGACTCACACCCACGCCCTAAAAGTTTCAATAAGGTAACCCAAGTCACGTGGACAGTGGGCGTGCATTGAGAAATCCACGGTGGTTTTCTGTTGACCAACTGCTCAGGTCACATCTGAAAACTGTCCTCAAAGCGGTCTTTTCCCTTCAAGCCAGCCTACTCTTTTCAACCCGACCCCTAGGGATAAACCAAAAGTGCTTCCTCCCGAACTAGGATTTCCCAGTGTTTGGACTTTCGCAAATGTTCAATCTGGCCTTACTGATGATTTCAGTGGTGTGTTATTAGTATGTCAGGATCACCAAACAACAGAAATCAGAATAATACAGAAGAATTAGTACGAGTCCATCGTAAAATTTCGGTCAAAAATCGCCGAATGCAGATGGTCATTTTTGAAAGAAATAGCCTGAATGGGGCTCATGGGACCTACAAAACCTTTACAGAGGTGAATATAGTCACTGAAACAATCTGTAACACTGGCGTTTATGGTCAGTCAGTTACGGGTCACAAGATGACGCGACATCTTCCAGTACGTACGTGGCAATCGTAATGGGAAGCACGATAGTGCTGCCAATTCATTCCCCTCTTTCTCAGTGTTTATCCCGAATAGATCTTTGTTTCAGACTAATTGGGGGTGAATACGCTTGTTGCTTCACCTTTTTTGAGCTCCGCCAAGTTGACATTCAGTATTCCGTTGTGTACGGAATGATAGCATGATCAAAAAGCTGTAACAGATTGACAACATGATCGTACACACGAATTTGATCGTCTTAGTAATAGAACACGATCAAAGCCATCAAAATCAGCAACAAAGTTTTTTTGGCATACTCTTGTATCTCTGCAGATTTGTGAACAACGTTTACGTTCCATGAAATCAACGAGCAAACCAAAGTGGAAAGCAGGTATCGGATGTTGGAGAGCGGCGGATTTTCGCGGCTAAACAACGCCCCAAAGAGGTGCGAAATTCGGTCTTCGCCATTTGAATATGTTTAGTAACAGGTGAAGAGTCATCCACTTTATCGCCACGGCAACTGATCTTGCCACAAATCACCGGGATTGTTCTCCAAATGGGAGTAGCCGTCAGATGATCGTCCAGTCACTGAAATTTTGTAAGTAGCTCACAATCAATCTATCCAGTTTTCACAGCTTTCGAGATTGTTCCTCAGGAGGTGAGGAGCCCCGGTTTCACAGAGTCCTTCTCTAAATCTGAGACGCGCTTCACCAAGTGCTTAGGCAAGTTAGAAAAGACCTACTCGATTTCGGACCCGTCAGTGGCAGCCAGCGGAGATTCATGTCTGACAAACCACAATGACCTGGAAGTACTTGCAGCTCCCAGCGCCAAAAATGGAGCAAACGTTATTACCTGTTTAGGTAAGTAGTATATCTATGAAACAATAAATCCACTGGTCCTATGAAGAAGGAAGACAATTTCGTAGCGACATATATATAT